TTGTTATTTTTGACATATTATTTTTGATTATATATATATATATTGATAAGGTGTCAATAAAATACTGCAAACAAAAGTATTTTACTTAATTTTAATAATGTTTCATAAACTATTATAAAGTTCCAAGATAATACTACTTCATGGCATGATCCAAAAATATATGTCAAAGTAAAACTACTTGCAATGAACCTATGGTTTTAAATCATGATTAAAAAAACCTTTTTATAGTCTAAAACGGATAAGCAAAGAAAGAACATACTTACACATGTTTAAAAAATACTTCCATAAAAGCCTTTGTATTAGTTGTAGTAACTTGTAACTTTTATAGAGATTTGTAGGAGTGGGTACAAATCCTTTTAGAATATTTTGTAATAAAAATTTAGGATTGCATCTTAAGTCTATAATTTTTTTCTTCATATACCTATAATTATACATTTTGACAATAATAAATATAACAATACAATGCATGGTAATCCCTAGTTTTTTTTTAATATTTTTTCATTATTAAAATATATCATATTAAAATTCCAAAAATGAAGAAGAAATAAACCATATTTTTATTATTACCTTTTCATATTTATACTTAAATTTAATTATCTTACTCTCAGTTCAGTTCTATTAATATTGAATTCAAATTTTATATGGTATAAACATGAATAATAATAATTATTTTATTTTAAAATTCCTCCCTCTATGGCAGTTTATTAATATCTCTTGTATACATATAATAGTCCACCGAAAAAATGTCAATCATGATTGTTTATTTGATTACTGTAAGTATGTTTGTATTTATTATTACAAGCAAATATTAATTCATTTCATTCTTTTTAAAATAATTGTTCGAATGATTTTTAAAAATAATGATTTTCTTTAGAAGATCTCTTTGCTTGGAAAAGTATGCATCAGGTAACAACTTTCAAGGCTTGTGATTTGTTGGAAATAAATAGTCTCTTTTACGAGACTTTATACTTTGAAAAACCAATTGAAAATTTATAAGAGAAAAAATAAAAGAAATTAGTAAAATATAATTTTTTTTCCCTATATGGTGTAATAGAGTTTTAAAAAAAATAATTGTACACTAGCCCCACCTCAAGAGGTAGTTTTTATAAACAATTAAGAAGTTGTGTTAAAATCGTCTATAAATATCCTTTTAAAAATAGTATATAAACATCTATATTTAAAACCAGAATAACAACTCTCTTTGGTTCACATTATGGTTTCTTTTTTACTTATGACTCTTTTCTAATGTCAAGGCTTCTAAAGGACAACTTTTCTTTATCAAGTATAGGACCTTTGCAAGGCTATGGAACAATGTCCTTTCAAATGGGCTTTTAGGTATAAAGACCTCTTAAAATTAAATTTAACTATTTTTTTTTGTTTTGTTTTGTTTTGTTTGTTTGTTTGTTTTGTTTTGTTTTGTTTTTTTTTTTTATTTATTTGCATAGAAATAATTTAATTTTTTTTGGAAAAAAAACTGTATATCTATAAAGTAAACTTTTTGACTAATAAGAATCAGAAAAAACTTCTCCATCAATTCTACTTAACTCTGTTCATACTTACTTAACGTGTTAATAGTATAAAACTAATATTTAAAAACTCAGATAATCTTATAATACAAAATTAGCATTCTATTAACCTAACATGTTATTTACAATAGTCAAACTTCTTTTGGAAATATAATTTAATGATTACATAACTTTTTTCTTTATGCCATTAGAAAATTAGGAATGGATTTAAAATAAAAAAATTAAAGGATTTTATTATTTAATAAATATTAAACACATATTATGTATCTTTATCTACTTGTTTACATTTGTATTGTATTTTCATTTACTTGATATCTTAGCAAAATAATTGAAGATCATAGCAAAGATGGTTCAGATCACACATTATTGGTCCAATTTAATTTGAATAAAGATACACAGAGTTACTACTTTAAACCAGCATTATTCATTTTCAGATGTATTGGTAAAATTTATGATTCATGGGTATATCACACAAGTGAGTGTGAGTAGTTACCTTTTATTGCTTTCATTCATAAAATGCGAAAAAGAACTTTATGGATTAATAACATTGCATATGAGACAAATATAAGAATCTTATTTGCGTGCATTACCATTTATTAGTTGTAGGATCAGCAGTAATTAATGCCAAAGGATTGCCGCTTACCAACAGTAATTATCATTGGAATGCTACAAGCAGTTTCTTACATTCATTGTTCCTTAACTTTATGTGGATTAATAAAATCATGGAATAGTCTCATATATATATATATATATATATATATATAAAATACAAAAAGAATGTAGTTTTCATGGCTTGCATAGTTTGACATAAGTTACAAAGGTTTGCTATAAAAGGGATTAGACATGTGCAGAGTGTGCATGTGGAACTGATTAATTTAAAAAAGGAATAATTTTGAATTAACATTTCAAGAATGGTATTGAATGGTTAGAATGTTTTTAGAAAACTTGAATTATTATTATATATATATTTTTTAATTTTTTAATTGGAGCATCAATTGTTGCTGATTCCAGTGAAAATTATCTATTTATCTGATATTAATCATCAATATTTTCACACATGAAAGAAAATCACAAAAAAATAAAATAAATAAATACATATTTTTGTAAATGACACTGTTTTGGCTTTGTCTCGACAGTTTCGAGATTACACAAACTAATTCTGTAGATCGGCTTTGAATTGTTAAATTAACAATAACAATAACAATATATACTTAACGTCAAGCTTTAAACTCATTACTTAAATATTTGAGTGCAGTAGAATTTTATCACTCTAAGTCAAGGAAAGTAACACGTGTTTCAATTATATATATATATATATATATATATATATATTTAAAATGTTTTGTCCACATGTGAATTGTTTTCTGAAAGTTTGTTATGACAAAATCTTTGAAAAGTAAGAATTTGTAAGATGAAAAAAAACAATTGCTCTTACTATGCTTCAACATGACCAATGTCATATGTATTTTGAAACTCCAATGGATAATCAAAGCTCATGGATTAGGCTCAATAAAATAGAATGCAATTATCTGCTATAAATTTCTCAAATAAAATATTTAGATACCTCTGATTCTATATGCATGTCTATAAATAAATAAATAAATCAATGCACATACATACGCATAATTTCACATTTTGATATGTTTATTTAAACATGAAAAACTTATGATAATTATATCCCTTTAATTTTTTGTACGTATATGCATATATCTTATATCATACAGGCTTCAAAAATAAATCAGTTATCAATTCATATGTTGCTCATTGTACGACTTCAATATTCCAATGTATAATTCAAGACTACCTATTATTAGTGAAATAATAGGTAGAAGAAGTTTTTTTTAACTTCCAAGTAAAAAATGTTTTTTTGAATTTTCCATGTCATGCATTTTACGAAGGTCAGTTTTTTTTTTTTTTTTTTTTTTTTTTTTTAATATTTTTTTTTTATTTTATTCGCTGAGATGATAGAACTCTACATGCAAATAATATTTTTTTTAATATTATATATTTATACAAGCAAAAGAACCATTGATGTATGATTTGGCTATTGATCTTCCATTTCTGGCCAAAACCATATGCTAATATATGACTAAATCAAATTTAATGCATCTAGGATAATTACTTATTATATAAAAAAATGTATTTTATATGATATTTTAACATGTTGTAGAAGCAAAAAGACAGTATAGTTCAAACAGAAATATCAATAAAAATTATGAACAATTTACAACCATTCATAATTTATAAACCATTTACAACCATTCATAACATATGAATTGTAAATTATATATTTCTGTGAATATTAGATGTAAATATTGATTCAAAAAAAGAAAAAGAAAACTGAGTCTAAATGCAATCCTTGGTGGTGGTAGAGGTTATTGTTGATATTTTTATATTGTATTGTATTGAAGTTTTGGGGTTTTCTCAATATGCTCTCTCACACTTGGATTCTCCTTAGGCTACCTTGTCTAGGCCAAATTCAATCATTCTTGAACTTTGGGCCACTAAGGGACATGGTGGTTGTATTTTGGACCCTCCTAAACGTCTCTTTTGAATAAACATTAATTTTACTTGTTATTCAGTTTTCCCAATACCCTAAACTGGAGGAGGATGATTCTTCTCAGTGGGCCCCCTGGATACAAAGCCCTAAGCAACAAGCTACCAAACCAAACCAAAGTGAGGCTTCATATATTGTCATCATTCTCAATGGAATTGGCCACAACATCATGGCCCTGCAGCAGCCCAACCAAACAAACACAGAGGTAAGTAAACATGCCAGGAGAGTACAAAAAGAAGAATTTAGGTGTCCAATTATGATACATTAGTATTCTGGGATCCAGCCCATGTCAGACAGAGGGGGGTGTTTAAGATGTACTCCTTCTGCTGCTGCTGCTGTTGTAGTCGCAGTGGTAGTAGTAGTAGCAATGTACAATCAGGTAATGTCCCTGCTTTTCTCTGAGGGTTTTCCTGCACTATGGCTGCATGACTGCGCACACGAAAGCCTCTCTCTTGTACTTGGAAGAAGCTTCATGAGCCTATACAGCTTCATGTGGGTGTCGGTTCAAACACTGGAACCGGCACAGCCTTCAGAGAAAGTAGTTTTACTACTACTACTATTACGACTACTGCAGGAAGGGGAGGACGATTGGGTTGTGGTTGTGGTTGTGGTTGAGGTGGGGCCTCGAACATGGGCGATGCTCGAGGTTCTTGCCCCTGGCGAAGAAGGTACACGACTACTGATGCGGATGGTTGACAAAGAAACTGTAGGCAGAAAGAAGAGCAGGAAATTTACTGCTCTGGCACTGTGGACGTGGATGAGAGCCGGAGAGAGAGAGAGAGAGAGAGAGAGAGAGGGTACGGAAGTTTCTCTGGAAGTTAAATTTGCAAGGAATCATAGCAGGAGAAGCAGTGCTGGGCCCCAGGAGAGAACTAGGGGGGGGGGGGGGGGGAGAGAGAGAGGGGGAATGGAGGGAGGAGACCAGACCAGACTGGTCTCATGCTACGGTGTCTTTGCCAAACGAGTCTTCGTCGTCGTCGTCGTCGTCGTCGTAACATCAGTTTCGCAGACCAGTCGAGGTGGTGCTGTTCAGAAACTAGTCTGATTCCAGCCTCGCGCTACCAGCCCGTTGCCATGCCTCCCTTTCTTTCGATTCTACTGCAGTGGTCCCGAATTTCACCACCCGTTTCGATAAGCTCTTCCGTGTGTGTGTGTCATTCCATCTGCACCGCCGCTTCCAGGGGAATACTGTCTGGTCGGGCCTGCAAACCTTGCCTGGGGTAGGCAAGCTTTGTTTCCACGCTAACAGTCCGTGTAAGTGGTGCCAATTGCTGTGATGGTTGAGGGTTTTCTTGTTAGTCAGGATTCTACCTTGAAGATTTTGGGTTGATCGCCCACAAGTTCCTGATGCTTCAGGACGGCGGCGGTGGAGTGCAAATAAACAGTGGGTTGGGAAATCCGCTTGTTCGGGAGGGTAGCTGCGTTTTGAAGGGAGCACACTGCAAGGCATGTGCCACGCGCGTGTCTGCGAACTGTGACCGGGACTTGTTGTTGGGCTTTGCTGTCACTTGGACCGTGCTACACAATTGGAGACTTTGGCGAGGCACACGTGTGTCGGACGAAGTTACTCCACTTCAGGTTCTCACGATCATGGCGGTACCGTTATGTGTGCTTGAACTCGTCGACTCTGAAGTTGTAACACAGGTAGCCAAGCCCTCGAGCGCTTGCTTGCCACCCCGTAACAGTGGCTGGTATTAAAACCTGCAGCACCGTGTTGGTAGGATCAGAAAACTGGGGTAACTGGTAGCGAGCTTGTCCTTGTGTAGATTCCAAGTCCATAGCCAGGTGCCGAAACAACGTTACAGCATCCGCCCATGGGTCCATTGTCTTTGGCTAGACGTGGACACCTGGGCAAGATGAGTTGCAGAGGGCCCAAGGTTGTGGTGTTTCGTCCCTCTTCGATCAAACCCCTTGAGCTTCACTTTCAAGAGAACACGATGTTCGACGCAAGTTTACAGGAGTGCAGGGTTGAGTATTGTCAATGACTGTCCACGTTACTGGGGATCGACGCTTATTCCTGGCAATCAACTAAGTAGGAGCAAATTAGGAGGTTGAGCCGTCGGCCAACGTCTCCGCCGTTGTAATTCTGAAAGAGGATGGTCGTGCATAGTTGATTCCCAGAGATGATGGTGGAGTAGCAATGATCCTATTGTCAGTAGTCGTCATCATACGTCGGACAGTACCGTTGTAATCCAGGCAATGAAGCTGGACACTGAGGTCAATGGCCGCGGCAGTTGGATGGTCACAGGATATTGCAGTGCATGATTGAACATCATCAGGTTTTGAGCCTGGTGTTGAGACGACAACGAGTAGCATAAATAGAGCTGCCAAAGTGGACGTCCAGTAGCTCATGCGGCGTTAGTAGAGTGCTCCGCGGCTTTCAACGCTAAAGCTTGGGGCTCTGACATCTATCTTAGCACAAAGCTGGTAGAAGTGTTGACGGGAAATTCCGGGAGGAACTTCACTCTCAACTCGCGCATTCCTGGTGGAGTCATCGGAAATAGCTCGATGGAAGAGTTTTTAGGGTGGCCCAAGGGACTTCACTCCACGTTGAGCATTTGATGCACGTGAAGTATCTATTAAGAATGAAAGCTGGCTTTGCTGATTCACAACGCATAACAGACCATGAAGCATAACACAGCTTGTTTCCTAGGAAAGTTAATTCCAACTATGGCTATCTGGTTTCACAAACAGTGAGTGCTCTCACGCAATGCCAACCAGTTTGCTGAAGCATCTGTGACTACGACGACGACGACGATGACGAGGAGAGTCTAGCACCTACATTTTTCCTCTCTGAAGCTCTTGAGTTTGAAGGATATCAATCCGTGAATACCACATCCAAGGTCTCCCTCACAAGGTGCCGGTCAGAGTCTGTGTATGCACTGGTTGCAGATGGAATTGGACTGTGATTCTGGCAATTCACTAACTCCAATTATGGTTGGCTTACGTTTTCGCTACTAGCCCCTTAATTCGCTTTTGGTGGAGTAAAACAGCAGTCTGACCCCGTCAGCGACCCAGTCTATCAGTACCAGCAGCCTCATTCTGACAAGTATGTCGCAGAACCATGGCAGCAACTTAGGAGGATACCAAAACTCGGAGAACAATTGTTACAATTCTATTCGTTCCAGCGGCGAAGGCAGCAACACGATTTCTGGTCAGGGACTAGAGAGAATGCAGTCAAATGGATCCCTTTGCATCGTGGAAGCCCTCAGTAGGTCTCACGCTGCAGGTTAGAGTGCTAACCTTGCCAACCCCCAACTTCAAAGTCTCACAGGCAAACTACATTTACCAAAACTGTAATGTATCGAATTTATGCAGTTTCCAGTGTCTGTAGCTTATCATCTAGGGTTTCTTACGTTTGCCACCGCTGTCGATCTTGTTTGAAATGTTCTAAAAAGAACTTCAATAAGTGCTCGCAAACTACAGAAATTCGATACATTATTTGCGTGCACTTATTGAAGTTCTTTTTAGGAAGCAGCTAATGCAATAAGTAAAGGCAATCAACCTACAGATTGCTGATCGAATATTCTGCACACCGAAGACATAGAAGTACTCAAGCTACCCGCTGCCTCTGAAACCGAAATCGCTAGGTCCCTCACTTAACCAGCTGATGCGTACAGTTAATGGGAACAGTAACATCGAATTGTCAGAAAATGACTAAGAAGGGAGAGATTCTTGCCAGTCTAAACAGCGCAGTATATATATATATATATATATATATATATATATTCTGCTGTCTATGGGAGACCATGTTGCTATGCGTTTCCAAACCTCCCCGTTAAACACTAACACGAGCCCAAGGCCATTTTATCCTCTGCCTCAATATTTAGTGACTTGGTACTACTATTTTTGAGGAGTCTCATTATCCACACTCCGCATCCTCGACACTGCTTAAAGACTACTGATCCGCACGTCACTTGCGTGTGGATTTGAGAGGGGAGGGAAGTCCAGTTTTTCTCGCTCTTTTCGACATTGACGTAGTAAACCTGAAGGTCGTCTGCATTCAATGCGGACAACTAGCAATGAAACTGCGACCTACTATGTTTAGATCATCAACCTTGTCCCTCGCGAAGACAAGTTCAATGCTAGAAAACTAAGCGGTAGTAAATATGACACAACACGCAGTCAGTCCGCTCCGAGTCGGCTTCAGCACCGTGATCATAGCGAGACGCATACACCTATGAGTTTGGTATACAGTAGGTGAAGTCAATGCTGTTTTCTGTCGCGGTTCAGTCTAGTTTTAGTATTACCATGTTTATGATATGCCGCCGCTACATGTCAGTTACTAGAGCCCGAATATTGGTCAGACAATTGTGAACATGATGGGCTTTGGTTCCGGTTCGGATGCGCTGCATAGAACTTTTGTTTGTAGCTTAAGAATGGATTCTTGGCTGGAAAAAGGTAGGAAAGGATTCTACTTTCACGACAATGAAAACCTTGTGGTGAAAGCCCGAAACTCTCACGTATTACATTGAGATGTTGATCTAAATACTGAGTGGCCAGTCGCTCGTTTGAATGGAGTCAGATCCAGCTCAATCATTACGCGCATCCTCGTGTTACAAACGTTGCCCGGCTTGTAGGCATGAAACTGTGAGTAATCTTCTGAGGGTCGATTGTGCAGGAATCTAAGTTTAGGTAGTTCTGTTCTAACTCCGGGTCTCAGATTACTATTTTGGAGTGTTCGAGTAACACTAGGAGGAACATCACGCATCCATTTTGACAACTTGAGATTGAAAGTATAGCTTAGACGCGGTTCAGCTAGCCTGGAGATGGCATAGATTTTATCGTTCACGTTCGCTATTGTGAGATTGATGGCTAAGCGTTGTGATGGTCCATTTGGATGCACCGCAGACCGTTGGCAGCAGCAGCGCGCAATGCAGTCGGATGGCGGAGTTCACCAGCACACCTTTCTCATGACTAATCAACTGTCGCAACTAGCGGGCAATGGTGGCACACGCGAGCAGCAGATGACGGGTTCTCACTGCCACTATGACATGCAGGGTACTGCTGCGGAGAACTGCGAAGACCCGAAGCTGGAGGACTTTTTGGGCGGGGCATCCTTGGGTGGACAATATGCCGACCGGGAAGCGCAACAACAGCAGTTGGACTCCTTATACTACAGCGCCGGAACTACTGCCACGAGTTACGTCCAAGACAACCAGTCGCGTATCAACGTGAACTTGCCATACTCACTGCAGCAAGGCGCAGGTTCCCTTCACGACGTCCCATCGTCGTTTCGAATCGCATACGGTGGAGTTCCGGATCAGTCTAGGCTTTCGAGTCCGCACAATTACGAACATCCACACACTCGTTCGCAGCCGGAGCTTCAGGGGAACAATTTGCTGTCCGGAACCCGGTTGCACCCGCAGAATCTTATGAAAGCGACGCTGAATCGATCCACGACGGCGGAGCTGCTGTCTCATAGTGCATTAGAGTTACCATCAGGTGGATCGCTGAATCAAAACAGCGAGGATCCTGGATTGAACATGTGGCTGAGACATCAAGCAACAGCTGAAAAGACAGCACTGACCAACTTGGCTTGTCTGCCACCACTTACTCTATCCATGAGCGCTGGCTCCCACCAGAGCAGCGTCTATTCACCTGCGCAAACCGCCGGACTATTAACAACTGCGGATTACCCCACCGGGCTCGAGCCTCGCAAGCGAGGCGCCGGGCGGTCTGACAACAAAGATCCGTCCCCCCGCAAGTCCATCGATACCTTCGGCCAGAGAACATCTGTGTACAGAGGCGTCACTAGGTGGGTGTCCATCAGGATCTGGATCATTTGATGGGTTGTTGTAAATGTGATCTGTGTATATACCTTAGCAAGTGCAGCAAGATCACATGTTTGTGAACTCCTAGAATTGGACACACCGGATAGGCCACGGTGGATACTGTGCAACAGCCCTACGGACAGATGAATTCAATTGTACCGATAGGAGGGTGTAGAGCTGAATTTAGGCTTGGCGAAGGTCGAAGTGGTTGAGGGTCATGTCCTGGTCTGAGGATGTTGGGGGGTGTATTGTGTGTTTGATTTGTAGGCATCGTTGGACTGGACGGTACGAGGCACATCTGTGGGACAATACTTGTAGAAAGGAAGGTCAAACTCGCAAAGGTCGACAAGGTATGACTGGAGGATCTTGTAGCCCAGAACTCTCTTTATAAGTTTCCTTCTGAGTCGTAGTGAAGTTGAAAGGACAGTCTGCTGAACTTCTGAGCTAGAGCATTCATTGGATAATCAGGCGACAATTGCAATGTGGTGAAGGTTGCATACGCAGCATCTCACGATCTAATGTATTTGGGTACTGTCATGTGCTGAGCAGTATACTTAGGAGGATATGATAAAGAAGACAAGGCAGCCAGAGCCTATGACTTGGCAGCGCTCAAATATTGGGGTGTCAGCACCACCATCAACTTCACGGTATGTCATAGAACGTGTGCCCTCATGTCATTTTGCTGCAAGTAAATGTGTCCACAACTGTTCTGAGCTTGATGACAAGGAATGTGGTGGGTGTGATGCTTAGTAGTTCTGAGGAATGGTGCCTCATGTACGTGGAATGGTGGAATGTTGTGCGGCAGCTTGATACATACGAACAAGAGCTGGAGGAGATGAAGAACATGTCTCGGCAGGAGTATGTTGCCTCGTTGAGAAGGTGCAATCCTTGAGGAGTTTCCTGATAACATAGTCGAGGTTGATATAGTTGTGATTTGTGTCCACAAGGGTTTTGAGTTCAGGGACAGACTGTGAGAGATTGCGTTCACACGGAAATGCGCTTGCAACTTTGAATTTATGGTGTTACGCTTTCAGTCCTCCATGGCAGCATGTGATGATGAATTGAACATTCTTTGACATGGTGGAACTGTTGTCGCAACTTGGCTTGGACAGGAAAAGCAGTGGCTTTTCGAGAGGAGCATCCATGTATCGAGGGGTGACGAGACACCATCAGCATGGGAGATGGCAAGCACGCATTGGGCGAGTTGCGGGAAACAAGGACCTGTACCTGGGCACTTACAGTAAGTGCAGGTCTCACATGAATTCGTGCACAGTAGCGGATTACTCTCGCTCCATATAGCGGTCATTTCTCCTGATAGGACTTCCGACGTTGCTTCCAGAGACGTCGGAGTGTTCTGGATCTAGATGTGCCCATGTTATCTAAATGTTTGAATAAACTGGCTGTGTAATTCAGGCACTCAAGAGGAAGCAGCGGAGGCCTACGACATAGCTGCCATAAAATATCGTGGAATTAATGCCGTCACAAACTTTCATATCTCTCGTTACCTAGCTAACAAGATTCAGGAAGCTGCCGTGAATGATCACCCCGGGCTAGAGTCTATAGAAGCAGCGAAGGAAGGCGAATTGTCGGCATCTGTGATCTCGACGCCTTTGCAGTACTCAGGTCAGGCGCAGACTGCTCTAATGATCGAGCTCAGCCAGATTGACGACGACCATCAGACAACCACACATTCCACCGGCACCACTGAGTTGCTAACCACTGAGGTGCTGTCCGGTCAAGGTGGGATTTCCAAGAACCTCCACGACTTGCAGATGTTGTATCAGCAACAGGCTAGAAACAGCTGGGGATCTAGTTCGCAGGGGGATAGCCAGCGAGGCTGGTTGGGATTTGGGGTGGATTCGATGCGAGCCCCTAATACACAGTCGAAGTTCCCAGCCCCCACGAGCGGGACGTCGCTGCGGAACCTTATGGGGTTAGAAGCATTTCCGCAGGATCGTAATGCAGGAGCCGGTGAGAGCTCGTGTTCGGCAAACCAGGCGCTGATGGGCCACGGAATGCAAAGCTCCAGTAGCATGATCAGCTCGTCGGGTTTCCAGGGCGGGGGCTCGGGCGTGTACCAGAGCGGCGATGGCAGGACTTTGAACTCGCCACCAATGAGCAACTCGGTCTACCCACAGCAGCAGCAGGGTAGCCTCGATAGGGGGGCAGTGGTGGACAGCCCGAAGAATTCGGTGGATGAGAGCGAGGAAGCGAGCTCGAAAAGCTCGGGGTACGATCCCGTTTTGCAGGGAGACCTGTCGCGCAGCGGAGTTTTGTACTTGTCGCCAGGGTCGGGATCGAAAGGGAAGATGGCGAGCTATGTGGAGAGCAACTCAATGTCGCCGTGGATCGGCAGCAATTCCACAACAGTGCAGGGGCTGACGGAGCGGTCCAACTTGAGCATGGGTGGGCACATGGGATCCGGCCCCATTTTTACGCAGTCATGGAACGAATGACAGAGGGCAAGAGTGACAGTGTAGAGCGGTGGCAGACGAGCAGATGGGTAATGGTGCTAAGGCCAAATGTTGGGCTGCAGCCATTCCAAGTCCCAGACGGATGGAGGACACCGGCTTGCAGCGCGTGGAGTGCGATTCAGTCCCTTCGGCTCTTACCCCGTCTGCAACCAATAGCAGGGTGGTGGGTTTTAGAATTAGCTCAAAAGTCCCACATATGGCAAGTGTTGATACAAAATTATGTGGTACGACGGCCCCCGACCTTAACATTGGCGGCATGTACAATTGATCGATGACAATGATGATTTTCTGCCCTTGCGTGAGCGGAAACAATTCATTTCATGGGCCCAGTTAGTAGGAGGGGATTCATTCCCAGTACGATAAGGACGACAATGTTTTTGGTCAGACTTCTTTCCACACCCCCAATCTCGTTCCGCCTGATGCTCCTCAGCCCACAGATTTCGATGGTCCGTGTCCCAGTCTGTTCCCGGCAACTGGTGTCTCCAGTTGCATGGATTTGCTGCCGAGACGGCTATGCTGAAGTTAATTCTCCCAGCACTTCAGGACTTGGCAAATGATCTGATGGATGGGAGCTGATGGTGGCAACAGACTGGGTCCAGGTGATGCTGTAGCTGGCATCCAAGCAAGAGTTGGACAGGCAATGATTAATCAAACTTAACCAACTCTAAGACTATCACAATGATCCGAGCGGGATCGGACTGTGACTTGCTGTGTGGTGGAGTTAGTTATCACACCGCGAGGTTACACGAGCTTTTATAACAGCGATGGGGACACGATTGTGTTGCACAAGGGTGCACTAGTTTGCCCTTAAGCAAGTGAAGGCGTTCCAAGGCATGGAACCAACACAGGGTTGTCAGTTACTGTAAATAGATGCTTTGTAGTATTGTTTTCAGAAGCTTGGCGGGGATGTATCTAATTGCGTCCTGGAAGAGGGCCTGTATGTGCTTAAATTGCTCAGACTTATCTTCGGAGCTGAATCTGCGTAACTTCATTTCATTTCGCATCTAACTTCATTTTGCTACGGAGTAGATTCTAACTGTTAGTTACCGACCGAATGTTTAGTTATACGTGCACATACATTAGAGCTCGAACTCAGTTATTGTACATAAGGACTTTGCTAATGTTAAGAGTGCGGGCTGAAACTGTTTTGGTTCATTCATGAGTGGAACTGATTCAGTTATTTAACCTCATGGAGTGTCCAATTTTGTTTTTGTTAAGCTTGGATTTATTTGTTTCAAGTTTAATTAGAGGAAAGACATATTAATTAGGTGCTTAGAGACCAAGGTATTTGATTCAAGTCACTATTTAATCAAACCAAATCAAGAATAATTTAATCAAAACCAAACCAAACTATGGAATTTGTATTAAATATGTTTAAACCAAAATCAAACAAAGTATCTTATTTTTCTATGAGATTTTTTTAATAGTAATCAACTCAATTTACCAAGTTTATCATTAATAAAATCAAAGGTTGCCATAATATCCAACTTTTATATATTACATAAATTGAATATAGATAGAGAATCTAACGTACAAAATAATGAAATAAATTGATTGCCTAAATCTAATGCTGTGTAGTATTATTAAATTTAACTGTTGATGGATTCGACCACTTATTATATGTAGTACTAAATATTGATGTGATGGATTGTAAATAGTCTAACATGAATAACAAAGTAAAAAATATTTTTAGACTATACAAAGTGATTGTTTAGACTTTGAAAAATATCTAAGGTATTGAATAGAGAGAAGCTTGTAAAATAAAAAAAAAAAAAAAAAAAAAAAAAAACTTTTGATAAAGAATGAAGTTTAATGCATTTTTTGATAATTTTAATACGTTAATATTTTAATTTATTATATTTTTGCAATAATAGTTTAAATGGATTTTATGATGATGATTAAACTAACATGTCTGAACACATTGGTGTACCTATTACATTAGTATTTTTGTTACATTTATTATTATTATTATTTTAAATATATATATAATAAAAAATCTAAAAATGAATCTTTTTACTAAGTTCAAAAATAATTATTATAGCATATTATAATATTTTCATCTCAAAACCAATGCTTTGTATGCCATTTGATTTGCAAGTATTGTTACTATTGTTTAGATTTTTGCATTGTATAAAGTACATTACTAGTACATAACGTCAATAACCATTTTTTTTGCCTTTTATACTTTTATATGTAATACTTTTGAAATTCAAATCTTATTTCATTTATTTTTAAAACTTTTAAAGATATGAGTATTTTGTATCATTTTTGTACAAATATTTAAATTTTAAATTCAATGATTAATTAATTAGTTAAATAATACAAAAATAATACAAAACTAATAACCATTAATTAAGATTATTTCAGATTTCAAAATCTACAAAAAATAAATAGCTCACTTTATTATTACATTTTATTAGGATTATATATATTAAAAAAATTACACTACCACATAAAATTATTATATCTAAAAATAAAAATATATATAAAATAAAAAGTGGTTGTACTTATTTATCTTTAATTATAATTTAAAAATTAATCTATTCTATTTTAACACAAGCATTTATTCAAAATGACCAAATTAATGTATCAAGTCCTCTTTAGACTCCTTGTAATATTAAAGAAGTCAAATAAAAAGAACCACATGAATAATAAAGTGTTTAATCTAATAAAATTTATATTTTTAGTGTACAGAATACATAAGAAATTAAAAATAATAGCATCTATTTTAAATAAATAGCCATCACTTTGCCATGTATTAGTTAATATATAATTATTTAACATTATATCTTTTGGTTTATATCTTGTACTTATTCTATTTTTTTTTTTTTTTGGTCTATACAATCAAAAGACCTCAATTCAATTCAAGAATTTTAATAGCAACAAGATGATGACAATGATACAAGAACCACAATATAATTATGATAAAAATATGTAATAAAGAAATAAAAAAATTATCTAACTTGCAATGAAAGGAAGTACATTGTTAAGAGTGTTGAAAACACAAAGCTAAGCAATTTAAGTTTTCAATTGCACAAATTAGATCCAAGAATAATATGGTGCATATCAAAGAAACTAGTAATATTTAACCAAAAAAATAATCAAAAGACATTATAGATCTTTGATAAGACTAATAAATGTATAAAAGTAGTCTCAACATTAAAATGACAAGAAAATTACTTTAGAAATTGTCCGCCTTTAACTAGAATAGAGATAAAGAATGATATTCATATTGCCACTCTTGTAACCAATTATACAGCCTTCTATTGTGAGGCCACTACAGGGCAAACATTAATTTTGGAATTAATTTGGATTTAGCTTTGACTACCTTAAAGCTAAAATAAACATAAAAAAACCAATTGGAACTGTATTTAAATTTTATATAATTTTCTCATTTTATCAGTGAATAAAATTACAGTGATTTGAATGTAGTTGCTTGATTTTTTTTGTTTGGTTTTCATTTTTTTCTTTTTCTTTTTTTGGTTTTTTTTTTCAAATTGGACCAATTAGCAAAGATGAAAAAATATTTAGTATGTTATGCAAATTGATTGTGAATAAATCTTTTATTAGTTCAATAAGAATAAACTAAAACATAAGAATATGTACATTTATATAAAAGTCTATTATTTATAATCTTTGAAAATAAAAAAAATATTACTACAAAAATACAATTCATTTATCTTTACAAGAAAAAAAAATCATTGGCTTATATATAATCTTAAATTTGATATGATTATATTAAAAATATTAGTTAGTAATTTTTTTTTTGTCTTTAATAAAAATAAAACCATATTTTTAATTATATGAATAAAAAATATTTTATAAAAAGTAAATTTTCTGAAAACATATATATGATTTGATTAAAAAACTCTTACTTCTTCTTATATTGTATACACTATTTTATTATGAAGTAAACATAAGAATGTTCCAAAAAAAAAACATAGTTATTGATGTATAAAAATATTTAATATAGAGTATAAAATATAATAGTGATTAAAAATTTAAAAATACGTCTAATTATATATATATATATATATATATATATATATATATAAATATTTTTATATAATACATATAAAATATCTCCAACAATTTCTCACACAATTATCTATGGTTACTTAAAGTTTAAAATGTTTATAGTAGTTATACAATTTCATTTCTATTTCAAATATTATAAGATTTAGCAATAGATCTAATAAAATAACATGGAAAAATTCCAAATGTATATACAATGTGTCAAATCAAATCATTTTTAAACTATATAATATACTTAACCAGACACATTTTTAAATATATTATTAAATATAGTAATTTCATATTTAAAATGTTATTATGGTGGTTCATTACATCAATAGTTTCTAAATTAAAAAATATATATTTATATAATTAAAATTTTAAAAATTTTAAGGAAATTGAATCTAAAAAGAAAAAAATTATGCATAAAATATTATAAAGTAGAATAAATTTGTAGATTTTTAACCTTTTAAAAATTATTTTAAAACTTTATATTTATGGAGTAGTTCAAAAATTTCTACAAAATATGATTTTTTTGGCATATTTACTATTAAATTATTAAAATTAATAAATAAAAAATTTTACTTGCTTAGATTGGCACAGAACTAATTAACATGGTTGAATTTTAAATTTTATTTTAAGATATTTGAAGAGATATAAAACTTAAAATATATTCCGTTTTCAATTTATTATTATCAAAGAATCAAAAAAATATGTTTTATTTAGTGGATGACTAAATTTATATTAATCTTAAATTAATAAATTAAACTTAAAAACCAATACATATTTGATAAATTTGTATAAAATTTAAATTTGAATAATTTAGAAGAAATTAAAACTCTAGTGATAAGGTTTTTTACAATTTGCAAGGAAAAATTTTGTATTCCAATTTAGAATGTTATTTCTCAAAGAAAAATATTTTTTAATTTTTAAATTTAGTTTAATATTTGAAAAATTATTTGATAAAAAAAATTAAAAATTGTAAAATGAAATAACTCAAAGAAGTGTAATAAATGACAATAATGGACTTTATAGAATTAAAAAGTCTTAGTTTTATTTATTTACTGTATTAATCATTACTGTATAAAATAAATTCAAATGAAAAATAATAAATTACTATATAATTTAGATGAGATTCAAAATAACTAAATTATTTTTTTAAGTGCATTTAATATTTTACAAAATCATCTAAAAAATACAAATTATTACGATTTTTTTCAATAATAACTATAATTGCACATATACAAATAAAGTTAAAGATATACATGTAAAACTGTATAATCTCACAGTATATAAATTAAGAGTATTAAATTATTGTACATATAAAATTTTGTATTTAAAATACATTTCTTGGCTTTTATTATAAAGTCTATATAGATTATTGATTACGAATGATTTTGCAAAAGAAAAAAATTGAATTTGCATCTATTCAAATATGTTTTATACATAAAGCTTATCCATGAATATTATAGAATATTAAAAGAATATCAAATCTCAAAAATGTTACATTATAATGACATTCACAACACTTTCTTAAGATAGATCTTTTTTGGTATTAAAGTTTGATTTACGAGAAACTTATAAAATTAATTTAAAGAACTAAAAAACTATATAATAAATTTAGAAGATTTGAACCATTTATAAGATACTTTTTTATTTTATAAATTTAATTTATACATTTTAAATGCTACTAAGTTTAAATTTTGTTTAATAATTTTCAAAATACATAATACATATCCATTAAATATTTGGCATATGTTAGATAATTGAAGGAATATTTTTATTTAAAAATAAATTTAAAATTACATTATATTATTTATTACTATTTATGTTAATTTTCTACTTAAATTTTAAATTATATTACCAGCGTATTTAAAAAAAATAGTAATACAGGTAAGAAACTTATATCACTCAATACTAAAATAATAGTGTTATGAAATTTTTTTTTTTTTTAAAGTAATTCATTATGCTATAGACATATTATAATAATTATTTGTTTTAAATTTTCATTTATATGTTTTATGGTATAATTTTTGATTCAATAAAATAACTCAATTAGTTTAAATTCTAAATATTAAAAATATAGTAAATAATAAAATGCTAACCATAATACATATCATTATTTTTAGGATTATTCACAAAACAATCACACTAAAATAATTATTTTGGTTGAAAC